ATCCGCAAAAGCATGAGAGTTAACGTCAATGATATCCCTCTTATCGCACTCACAATACCACGCTGGTTGTAGTACCCGATGAATAAATACTGCAAGGAACAAATTCCACTACTACCTGCCATACTTTAAACTTTGAACGAAAGAATTTGCTAGGCCTTCCATCAATTTGAAACAGGAGATATTTGAAAGATATATCTTTCTAACGGAATGAATCGCTTTGGGTGCATTTCATGTTTCACAGACTTTTCACAAGGATTTCTCTAAACTCCATCATCTACTTTGATGAAACGAACAAAAACAGCTAACAATTTTAATTCCGATTCTCTTTTCAGTTTCATGAGGTTTCTTGTGGCAAAAATCTGATTCGGATGTCTTCTATCCGACTTGAAGTTGGATACTTCTACAATCCATACTTCTCAAGATAGTAATCCTGCTCTCAATAAAACGCATGAACACTTTAGTAAGGGCATACACCACATCAACGGGAGTTCTTTCGATCTGCGCAAAATGTTCTATACTTCCAATCAGCAAATTTTTAAGGGCAAAATGCATAAGTAAATTACCCGCTCCAAAAGTGACCATGTTCATGTTTAGTACGAGTAAGGTTAGCGTGATGGTGTTGACTACATACTATTGCTCCTATTCATCCGTTATCGATTCCGCCAAAACGTTATCCATCATGACATGATAATGAGATATTTCAGTATAACTAGTGAAATACGTATATGGCAAACCTGATGGAAAGCCTCAGATGTCTTAGTCAAAACTGTGCACTTTTCCGTCTCGGCCATCGTCATTTCGTCTCGAATCCATTCTGACAGTTTCCTGTGGTAAAACCAAAACTGCAAGCTCGAAAATTTCGCCACAGCCTCCACTTTTCATCCTACCAGCCTTGATTTTCTCAACATACGAGGTGAAAAATGCACGTAGTTTAGCATCATATATGCTTTCTCTTATGCAATTCCATGAACTGTGTTCCACTAAAGCTAGGAACTTTTATATTCTGAACGAATTCAACAGGTTTTTAAATGAATTACAGTGTAGCTAGTTTTCAGTTTCACGAACATAACGGCGAGGTCTACTGTGCACAATGCTACGCACCGATAAAGGCGAAGAAGGAGAAGAAAGGTAATATAAAAACGAATTTTGTTTAATACAAGAAAATGAAGCAGCCCGTATTCTAAATGTTGCTTTCATGTAGTCGTCCCTAGTAGCGATGCGGTTATCACTGAAGTCACAAAATTCTCGTGTACCTTTTCACATGCATGAGTACTGTCCTCTTATTAACATATTCTGAATATGTTCTGAAATTTCTTTGCGATATTTCATGTACAGATTTGCAAAATTGAACGTATTCTGATGGAACAGATAAAGGTGCAAAGATGAGAAGAATATTTTATTTTATGCCAATGTTTCTAACTACACTACCGTGGTCATTATTATGGCCGTTAATGCCAACCAATGGACATTTTATCGTCCTAATATAAATTTATTCATCTCATCTGTCTTGAATTACTGTGTCAGGAAACCATGAGTTAATAGTACTTCTGACTTAAGGACTGAAACTGGTCGTGCGCATGTACTTAATGAAGAACTTCATGTGAGGCTCAAGGCAACGCTGCGACACAGAGCGAATTATTTTCCTTGCAATCACTGGATGATCTTCTATGTCAGTTAAATCGTGTTCGAGTTGGAAAATATATGCAAGCATTATCACTAACTTCGGCGCCTCTGGTATGTTCATAGCATAATACGAAGTAAAATCTGCCCAAATTACGCTATTTTCTATGGGTAAGATATTTCCGAGTTGCTCATTATCTGAGACAGCACGAGCTACGAAACTAGGAACGCCTGGCCCTCGCAGGCGCAAGAAATGCCATGCGAGTAAACGTCAGATAGCGGTCAAGGGAAATGCAGGCATTTTCATCCGAAACCATGTTTGCCAAAAATAACAATACGTTAATCTTTTATCGCGTGCAACGTAATGGTAACATGTTGTTTCAGGTGAGGCGAAAATGGAATAAAGAGAAGAAACAGTGGCAGGCGAATAAACTCAGTTTTTCGTTAAACGGACAGGAAGACAACTGGATTGGATTATAATTTACAACGCTTCGTATTGCAGTTAAAATGTCCATGTTAAAATCTACTTGATTTTTCATTAGATAAATTTCACATATAACGGTTAAACATGTTGCAGTGTTACTATCTGGTTTACATGTTGCAGTGTTACTATCTGGTTTATCATTTAAATGTTAAAGACTGTGGTATGACAAATGATCCGCAGTAAAAGTTTAGCAAATTTGTATGCAGTGCTCGCATATTCAAAGGGCCCTCGAGTAGAAAAAGTGAAGTTTGCTGGTAAATCAAGTACATGCCTAATGCATAAATCTCACACTGTGTACATTTCTAAAATTCAAAAAATTTTATTGTAACAAATGCCAGTCGTTACAGAAGAAAGGCTCTAGCATGATGTGCAGCTAATGATTGCTATTAACGCTCCTATCCAGTAGAAGATGTATGGCACAGATGGAAATAACGATTAGAGACAAAAATTAACGATTGCGCTTGTTCGATAAATAGAGTTTCGTTGCGAATTAATGCTGGCTATTGGAAATTGGAATGCTTCATTTTTAACATGAAAGAAGAAGAGCGGTTGAGGTGGATTTATGATGTAGATGTTCCTTCAGTCCAGCGTCTTAGTATATCTCAAAAGCAGGGCTGTTTCTGCTGCTAACTGATTTAATACCAGTTGTATCTAAAGCTAAAAGCATTTATGAGATGGCACAATGCTGGTAAATAAGTTTTAATGTAATTAGCGCTTTATATGGTGAAAGTTACGTTAAAGGGTGAAGCTGTAATTGTTTAAACACGAGGCACAATCACACCTTGAAATGCTACCTTCCTTGAAAATGGGGATAACCATTTATTTGATTTAATGGTCGCTATGGTGGTAATACCTCACTACTAACGTTAAGCGAGAAATGCAGGAACTGAAAACTAGTGCAAAGGTTAGCTAGAAAAAACCGCCTTCTGCCGTAACTCAATACTGTTAAATCAGTGCAGGGCACATAATTTTGTCTAATTAGCACCATTGACGCTATTACGATGAAGAATGCGTCTATTTCCATAGATTTAATTAGCATAACCGACCATTTCATAGGTATTAGAACTAAGGGTTTTGTCCATTCGCAGTTTACCCTAACGCGTGATCCTTCGGTAGCTGCCGAAGTACAAATTCGATAACTTCTGTATGGCTCAAGTGCTGTCAAGAGTGCCATACCGATCCACAAAATGGATGTTTCAACTTTACAATCAACATTGCAGCTGCTTCTTTGCAGTGAAACCATTGTTTGCTTCGATATTTCTGCTCCTGCACATGGATGAAGTGGTACATGACCTACAGGATGCCAAAGCGGCGTTTTGACTAAAAGCATGTCAGTGTAATCCGCCTTCGCCAAATCCGACGGCCGTTTTCTGCAGGTGCCATTTTTTATGGCCTGCGTCGTAACTTTATTCAGTACAGATCATATATAATAACGAACAATTTTATTTCGAAATTCTATCTCCAAATACCACTCCACTAGAATTTTCACTCTCACCTCGTCGTTTCCTTCGCGTCTGAGCGGAAAGTCGATACTCTTCACTCATCATGGCCATTTTACTATGCATGTAATGGTGTAGATATCCGTGTAATGTGAGAGCACAGAGAGCCATTTTCATATTTTCTGGCATGTGTAGAACTATCTTGCTTTACATAGGGCGTAATCAGAAGTGTCACGACTCTGCAAAACGACTAAATGATGAACTAAATTAAGAACCTTATTTGCAGCTGCCTTAAACCCCTCCAAGCTAGCCTTTCATATAATAAACGATACAGAATATATTATGAATATCATGCACTACCTTTAAATGTACCTGAAAGACGTATTACTTCGCTGCTGTAACGTAATGGCCGAAGCTCAGTCTTTTGCCTGAGCTGTCAATGGCACTAAACTTAACTTATTAAGTAAAATCCAGAGAATTTACACTGACAAAAGAACTTACTTTCGTTCGTACATCGACAAAGAGTAAATATCTGGATATATACGACGCTACACCTTCAGCGATCCCGATACCTGCTTCTCGCCTACCGGTGACTTCCGAAAAACACGGTAGGATGAATTCGTTGCAGCTACAACGAGACTAGCACCTGGTCAACGTCAAACCTGTATTGTAGAGAAAAAACTATCATGATGCCATTAGCAATCGAAATATCTGCACTTTAATGAAAGGTGTGGATATCACCTAATATCCTTATCTTCATCTTCCACGACCGCTTCTAGTTTTGGGTCGCAGACGCTGAAGCGTCAGACAGTGTTTTCAGCGTTATCGATCCTGTGCCAAGTTCTGACCTTCGGCAGAACACAACCTGAGTCTAGAGCAGATTCCCTCTATATATTTGCACAATTAATCTCGGACGTTCTTTGGGCTTTTGGGCTTTCTACCGGTCAGGAGGGCAATAAACAGTTGCTGCGCTTTTCTTTCTGGAGACACACGCAACGCCTGTTATCGCGACTGTGACTTCTCAATCTGAAGAAGCGGCGACCGTAAACTAAGACACTCTCGCATCTCTGTACTCCTGACACCTGTCGTGACACGTAAAGCCAGCAACTCGTCTCCAAAAGACCATTTCAGCCGCTTGTATTCGGGATCGAAGTTTTCAGTCATGGTCCACGACTCACGACAGTACGTAAGCATGGCGACAAAGCTCCACTTGAATATCGAGCGCTTAGTCTTCAGATTCAACTCTGCATTAGTCACAATGGTTCTGGCAAGTTCACGCAGAACGCAACTGGCTGCTCCAATTCGCTGGTCGATCTCTTAACTTTTCCATTCATCAGTTAAACAACCCCGAGGTATTGAATTTCTTCACCTGCTCTACTGCTTCACCGTTTATCTGAGAACAACGGACAGGAGAACCAGAAAGCAATATGCTTTTCGTTTTAGATATGTTCACACGCATGCCCGCCATGTCACACCTGGCTGCGAACCTTTCAAAAAGCGCTAAGATGGAGTTTCAGAAGATGCCAATGAAAAAAGGTATTCTGCAAACAGCATTCTTCGCGTCCCGACATCTCTAGCGCTGATACACTCATCGCCCTGGCTGCGCCTAACTATTCTATCGATGTACAACACTAACAAGAGAGAGGACAGAACGAAGCATTGGCGGAGATCAGTGCCAATGCTGAAAGTTTTCGATTTAGCGCCATTTACTGTGACGAAGCACCTGCTATCATCATAAGAGTGATCGGACGGCTCGTAGCAACTGACCTTCGTTCCCATATGTTCGGAAATATGCAAAGAGACTGCTTAGTGGGATCCGGTCATACGCTTTCGCTAGGTCAACCAAGCATATATACACCAGAGGGGAGAACTCCTAAAATTTCTCAATAATCAGGCGTAGGGCGAACATCTGGTCAAATATGCACCAACTGGGCCGGAAGCCAAACTGCTCTTCTTCTACCGTGGAGATCTTTATTCCAAGGCACCAACTTTCTAGTATCTTGGGTAGACTTTACCTGAGGCTGATAAGGTAACGCTTCGATAAATGAACACTCCCTGTGGTTCAATGCAGTTTGACAGACACGTTTAAGCTAACAAATGCGTTGTTCGCCTACTGGTTTGAGCATTTCAGGACAGATTTCATAAATTCTAGAAGCCTTTTCATCATTTAAGATTTTCACACGTTGTGTGATTTCATTTGCAGACAAACTAATATCCGTCTCCTGTGATTCTTCCTATGCTTCCTCAGGGTTAAGGAGTTACTTAACGTACTCCATCGACCGCTGAAGAATGTCCTCCACCTCGGTAAGATGGTGCCCAGACTTGTCGTTCATGACTCTAGGAATGCCTTTCTTTTCATCTCCGAGCAGGCGGATCGTTTGCCAGAATACCTTGTTTGCTGTCTGGAAATTCGACTCCACCACATCACCGAACTTCTTCCAGGAATCAGTATTGGCTTTGGTCACTGCTTTCGCTGCCGCCTTGCGTACTTCGACATATTGCTTGCGAGTTGAATGGCCTTTGTTTCTAAGCTATTTGTTCAATGCAGCCTTCTCACTGACTGCCAGTTGCACCTCTTGTGCCCACTACGAGGTCCTGTTCTGACATCATCGCGGCACGTTAACCCGTTTAAATCCGCAGCATTCGGCGGCAGCCCCGAGTGCATCGCTCTTAAAGAACTACCACTGTTTTCACATCAGTGGTCATCAACGGAATGTGTTCAAATAATCGTGCGATGTTCTTTCCACGGTTTCGCTCTCGTATCCGCCGAAGATGATGCTTACTGTTTAATTCAGTGGTTGCTTCTGCCATTAGAACATCACATGATACTCCATCTCTCACAGCGTAGCGTGCCAACAACAAGATGATGATCGTTTGACAGCTCTCTGCCACTCTCTTAACGCAAACAGCCATTACAGGGCATCGTAAGTCAGACTAAAAGACTATTGAATCGATCACTGACTTCTGTGCACAAGCTTCTCTATACCAGATATACTGATGCACGCTTGGATGCTTAAAGGTGATCATAACAGATAGTCCATTGTTTGCACAAAGGCACAACAACTTCAAGCCGTTATTGTTAAGGTCACTACGCCGTTCTTTACAGCCACGCATTTTTACTATTCAGTGTCTGCTCCGACATGCGCATTAAAATCGCCCATTAAAATAACGGGCTCAGTAGACGATACTTCGTACAGAACACATTCCACTCCCCCAAAGAATGATATATTCTCCCTCCAAATTCAGAGTATAGACCTGTACCAAAGTCAACGCTTTAGCCAGTTGTAGCTTCAGTCGGAGGATTACCACCCTTTCGCTGACAGGCTTCCAATCAAATGAATCTGTCTTTCAGGTTGGGTTCTACCGGAACACCAATGCCGGCCTAAGTGAGCGTCGTAATGTCGACATCTGAGTAGAATTGCTTCCACTGCAGAGTTCCAGCATTCCAGAGCCTTAGAGCTTCGCTGATGAGAGTCCAACTCTGTCGAGTTGATACCTTGCGGCTTCATCAATAGGCTTCTGCTCGTTCTCTCTGAGTGAGGATATATTCCAATTTCCGACTGTAAGCCATCACTGGCGGTGTCGTTCTCGTGAAGCCTTTTTTGACGTGCTATAATGGCATCACGCTGTTTGCCTCCTCGGTTCAGAACGGGTAGCGACTCCGCTGCTGATTGGTATCTTCGTCGTCGTTCCAACTATCTTCGTCAGCCGTTGCTGCGCTGCCCCCTTCCCCCCCCCCCACTGGGGCTGGCACAAGGCGATGCGCAGATTTTTATCGCGGTTTTTTCGCGGCCTTGGTAACCCGAGCGACGACCGAGCCGGCAAAATTTTCGATGACGGTGATGCCATGAGGGGCAAGTGGTTAAGTTATATGAAGACTTTGCCAGGGTCTGCTATCCTCCTCTCTCGTCCAGGCTTTGGACCGGTAACGGCGGATATCACGTAGGATTACTCGGTAACAGCCAATCTGAATTCGTATAAAAATTCTCTTTTATAAACTTTTAAAAGCTCGAACAGCGCTGTCTATAATGTACCACAGAAACGCGGAGTCATTTGGCAAAGACGAGCAGGTCTTGACGACTAACTGTCTGAGAATACTGTCAGTGAACTGAAAAATCGGTATGTTTCCTGGTTTGATAAAAAACATTAACATTTATTCTTAACGGCTCCGCTTGTCTGTCTCGTGCGATTTGCTGCCAGAAGCTTTAATCATTAATTCAGCTCGCTGTCAAACCTGGATTGAGAACCTCAAGTTGGGCGCATGCTGCTTCTTGGATATGAGTCTGTAACTGACGAAATCCATCGATCATCTGTCACTCGTAAGAAATGAACTGACCATTGTGGTTATTTCCAGTGAAACTGAAGCTACGTTCAGTATTCCTGTGCCTCTTCTTAGTTCTCTATTTCACGGCTTCCTGACACAAATTGCAGTGCGCCGACGCACTCTTAACAGTTCTTTATCTTTTGTCGTCAGTACCCAGGTCTCGCAACCATACAGAGCGTGACAATACCGTGGTTTCATACAAAGAAGTTCTAACTGCAACTGATAACTTTCTTTTTAAGAATATCAGCGCTTTCTTCTGTAAGCACTACGCCACACGGTGCCTCCTAGCGAGCTGTCGACCGAAGGAGTGGTCACACGATATGCAGTCCCACGAATACACACTCGGTAATTTTTTCATTTGATCATCAGTGATGGCACTGTAGCTGGTTTGGCGAATTCGTTTCTGATAATCTTCGCCTGGCTTAGCCGATAACCAACTGGCTTGTTCTTTGACTCTATCTCGTATAGCGTGGCTTCAAATTCTTTTGCCTTCGTTCCTAATAGCATAGTATAGTCAGAAAATCACAGATGATTCAGTCATCTGTCGCAGATTAAAAAACCGCCATTGCCCTTCATTTTGCGGAACACAGACTCAAGACATACAGTAAACAGCCTGGACGATATAGTTTAATAACGCGGAACAAAAAGGTAGAAACGTTTTCACAATATTTCTTGCGTGTGAACTGCTTGCAGGCCACAGACACAATGGAGGACAGCACAAAATATTCAAACTCCATCTTTGACGTAAACTAACCCTCTTGAGACTAGAAATATTATCCCCTTTGCCATAGAAGTGAACGGTGCCGAATATCAGTCTGAAAAGTCTGGTCAGAAGTCGTATATCTATGTTATTCTTGTTTAGGCTGTCAGGCTTACGTACTGAACAGCGACAACAACAGTCTCGAATGGTGCGCTCTATTTGCGGGCGAGACGACTGGGTTTGAAAATTGCTAAAAAGAGCGGTCAGCCATTTGATCTGCAAATCTGCTCAGCAGGAATAGGTTTCCGCTTAGGATTAATCCGTTGTTGTAGCAAAAGCATAGCATAATGTGCGCACATATTAACAGTTGTGTCAATTCAAAGACGAAAGTAGTCGTTTCATGACCTTGGCATAGAGGTCGGCAATCGCAGTCATCAAATCATATCAGAAACCTGCTGAGTTAAGTGGACAGAGTCCTATTGTCGCTGGCCCCTTCCAGAATTTATTTTTGATATGTGGACGAAAACGACACTTAATTTCCGCGTATGGCTACAATAAAAATATTAGGAGCTTCAAGCACTCATTGGAATCATGGCATATTTGAACTAAGAGGGTAGGATACTTGCGCCGATAAAAGACATTCTGTTGTGGTTTGATATCATGAAATTGTCTCATATTCTAGTGATTAATGGTTGCTTCGTTAAAAGACAATACACCAAACCCCTAATTCATCCTTATCAAGTCGTTTATCTAGCAAAATCGGAAAAATGACGAACGGTCTGACATTCAATACATATCCTACTCTTCGGAACATTGTGTACTATCTTAACAGACTCCGTGATTAAAGCCGCATCGTGAGCTGCGAACGTTCACCTTCGTTGCGCAAATCTACGGTCAGTGAGGACAGCAATTTGATATTTCCGTAAGCTACGAATGAGACTCGACAAGTAATTCCAAAACTCTTCGATTTTGAGCAACAGATTCAATGAATTTTGAATCCTAGTTTGTAGAAGCCGCCAAGAACACACGTATGTTTTGCTCTTCTCCGAACGGTCTCATTATTATCTACAAGCAAAATTTTCAGAGTAGCCACTGTCAGCTGATTAGAAAAAATCTGGTGGTAAAAAGGCAGGTTTAGCTGTAAATAGCAAAATGCCTTGGTAATACCGTAAGACCCTTGTTAAATGCCTTCTGCATGCTGATTGCAAAAGGGTTCAAACCATTAATCAAGAAATTCAGGATTCATTAAACCGACTTTGCGCTCCACCATTAAATATCGAGATGCAAAAGAATTCCTTTAAAGAAAAGGCAAAACCTATTCTAATTTTATTTACTCCAGTTTCGGTTTCACGAACAGCTGTTACCTAATGTTAAAAGTACTGTAGTGGGACCTCGTTATAATGCTGTTCGTCCTCATTTTTAATTAGGTCATTCGGACGTACTTGGACATCAATGTAACAAACCGTAATTGCATAGGGCTTCTTACAGTCTGGACGTGGCATTTGTGTGCTCGGGTATGAATGCAGCCGTTTCGTTAGGTAACGTAAGGTTCGATGTTTCTTTAAAGAAACTTGACATTCGTTTTATTAAACCCTCGCTTCTCAGCCACACACCGTGGGAGAGGACAGGCGGTTGATCAACATGTGGATTCGTAGCGTGCCGAACCCATTCTGGAAAAGACCAAAAGGCAAGCCGACAATTTAATGTTTTGGACAATATCAAAGACGAACTGTGGAACATGCAGATGGACCACACTTACCGACAAACTGTGAGCCCAACATCACACAGTGATTGGCTTGCAATCATGCCCATCATTACCCAGAACAATACAATGACAAATGGTGACAAGAAGCGTGGATGAGCAGGAATCCCTTTGTGGCATCGCATTTGTCAAGTAAGTCAAGGCATTCGCTTTATCAGTAATTTATGTATTTCATTAGACGAAGTTTACCTGTCAACACTGTAATCTTTAATTGTAACAGTGAAATCGTCGCGACTGGTTTGGACAGCTTTGAATTTGGTCAATAACTTATTTGTATCATTCAATGAAATAATTTAAGATTAGTTAGTGCATATGTACCTTCGCTGAGCTCATTTTTTGAAACGTGGAAAACTTTACTGCCTGTACAGAATTAGATCATCCCGCTTGTCAGAAACTAAACAATAAACTTTACTAGAATCACAGTAAGAGATTAATCAAAGCGTTAATCAGCAGATTCTTATACTGCAACTCGACGAAGCCGGTATCAGCTAGTGCAATCTCCCAGACTTTCAACAACAGCAATTCTTGTTGTAAGTCTGCTGATTGATCCTCATCGTAATCACCATTGCCTACTCACGATGCTCACCTCCGTCCATCATGTACGTTTTACCTCCACACGCTTCCATATCTGCCGTTTAACCCATCATTTAATTTGGCAAGAACTAATCCATCAGTCCTGTGATGTAGTCCGCGGTGCACTCATTGGAGCAGAGAACTAGGGACAATTTTTGTTTGTGCTTGCTGTTCTATTCGATCTTGGAATATGGCTTTAGGGGGAATATGTCAACGCTTGCCAGACGTCTCGAACAAAATGTCCATCTGCCCTTCAACCCAGCTGAATGGGGATTTTGATGACGACTTGTGAGGCTTTGCTCGCTCATTGTTCTCCTC